GGGGGTCCCCACTGGGGTGCCTGGCCAGTCTGGGTGAGGGGCTGAGGGCCATTTTCAGGCTGGCGGGTGACTGAAGCTCCCAACCTCTCCTTTTTTTCTTTATTTTTTTATTTTGGGATTTATTTACCTTCTATGGCTGTCACTGGAGCTGAGAGCCGGCTCCAGCTCTGAGGCCTGGCTCCAGCTCAGGGCCCCTGGTTAGCTGAAAGCAGGTATCTGGGGTTTGTTTGGCTTCTATAATTGAAACATTGTTGCTGTCCTGCTCGCTCCAGCTCTGAGACCTGGCTCCAGCTCTGAGGCCACGGCTGGCTGAAAGGAGGTATCTGGGGTTTGTTTAGCTTCTATAATTGAAACTTTGTTGCTTTTGGAGCTGAGAGCAGGCCGTGGCATATGGGGAACCTTGGCTTCTTCCATCACTGGAGCAAGCAAACCTCCTGCTCACTTCAGCTGCGTGGCTGCCGGCCTGCATCTTGGTTGGCAGTTAATTTGCATATCTTGCTGATTAGCCAAAGGGAAGCTTGGCGGAGGTACGGTTAATTACCCTTTTTGTCTTTTATTAGATAGGATAATAAAAGGATAATGTGCAAATTGACCCCAAGGGCGGAACTACCAGGAACGACTGGTTGCTATGATGTGCACTGACCACCAGGGGGCAGACGCTCAATGCAAGAGCTGCCCCCGGTGGTTAGTGCGCTTCCACAGGGGGAGCTCTGCTCAGCCATAAGCAGGGCTGAAGGCTGCGAGTGCAGTGGGGTGGAGGGAGCCTCTCCCACCTCCTTGGCAGTGCAAAGGATGTCCGACTGTGGCTTAGTCCGCTTCCCCGAGGGGTCCCGGACTGTGAGAGGATGCCGGCTGGGCTGAGGGACCCCCATGAGTGCACGAATTTTCATGCACTGGGCCTCTAGTATATAGATAAGGAAGCTATCTAAGTTACTAGGGTCTTGACAGAAAGGCTCAGGAGCCAAGCTGAATAGGGTTCTGCTCCCACTGGCTCCAAATGGAACAATTTAGGCATTGTTAAGAAAAATAACTACAATGGATTGAAACATCACATATGTACAGATCCATGATTTAAAAATAATGCCAAAACAGACAAAGTAAGTGGTAACTACTGGGAGAGGGAGGTGAACCAACTAATTATATTAAAAACTTTACAAATAAAGGGAAAGCATCAAGTGTTTAACTTGCCTTTACTATATATATAGTACCACTGGTTAACCAAATAGCTGATGATAAGTTCCTCCTTAAAAAAGGATTCCAGCCATTAATAAGTAAGGAAGAACAGAATGCTATCATTTAGAAAGCCCAATGAATGCTGCTAACATCACACAAAAGAAACCACAGACATTATGGGCCTCTTATAGGAAGAACACAATACCATCTATGCTGTTCAAGCATATAGATACAGTTACCACTTCTAGAAAATGCAGTGAAACCTCAGCAAAACAGACTAATTT